ATATAGATATGCAAAGACAAAAATAGTTTGGTCACAAAATAGTCACAAAACAGATGGCTTCCACCCACAACAAGCAGAAATAAATAGCCCTGGAAGAATGAGAGATTAGATTTCCAGTTGCCCCAGCATAATACTCACAATGTCCAGTTCTCAATTAAAAACTATAAAACATACAAAGAAAATGGAAAGTATGGTCCATACATATGAAAAAAAAGAACTTCACAAAAACCATCCTGAGGAAGCCCACACATTGGAATTGCTAATCAAAGATGTTAAATCAACTGTCTTAAATGCTCAATGAGCTAAAGCAAACCATGGGGAAAGAACTAAAGGAAATCAGGAAAACGTTGTGTGAACAAAATCAGAATCTCAATAAATAGAAATTATAAAAAAGAACCCAACAAGTTCCAGAGCTGACAAGTATGATAACTGAAATGAGAAATTCACTAGAGAGATTCAGCAGCAGATTTGAACTGGCAGAAGAAAGGATTGGCAAACTTGAAGATAAGAACATTGAAATAATCCAGACTGAGAAGCAGAAAGAAAAAAAGAAGGAAGAAAAATGATGAGAGCCCAAGAAACCAGTGGGGGGATCATCATGTGTACCAACATATGACTCATAGGAGACCAGCAGGAGAAAGAAGAGAGAAAGGGGCAGAAAAAATGATTTGAATGGTGGAAAACTTCCCATATCTGATGAAGACATGGATATACACATCCAAGAAGCTCGGTGAACTCCCAAGCAGGGTAAACTCAAAGAGATCCACACAGAGATACATTATAGTCCAATAATTGAAACCCAAAGGCAAAGAAAGATAACTGGGGCAGCCATGGTAAAAGCACCTGAATATTGAATATGTTTAATGCTAGAGCTGAACTTAAAATGCAGATGGGGATTGGAGTGAAAGGGGGAAAAAAGCACTCTAACAACTAACAAACACTGGAAGAGGAAAAGGCAAAGAAGATGGGATATAGAGTGATTTCCTGTATAGTGTTATTTCCTGTTTGTAATAATAAAACATTAAAGAATGATACCTAAAGCTGACAAGTAGTAGAAAACAAGTAGTGGAAATATAAGCATATTTAATAAAATGAAGGTATTTTTGCAAATTGTGAAGTTGTAGCAGTGCCCTTCAGTAGAGGATTGGTTAAATAGATTATGGTCCATCCATATGATGGAATACTTTGTAGCCTCAGAATGAGGA